GAGAGAGAGAGAGAGAGAGACCTTCCGATGCCTTCGTATCGATTATAATTGGAGTGTCAGACAAATGATAAATAAATGGCTGGCCTTTGCGTGTGAGATGTGTTTAAATGTATGATTCAAACGACTCGCGTCTCTAATGAATTGGATTCCAGTTTTTCTTTCATATGAAATACATTTTTTTGAACAAAAACTAAAATATTCTCCACTAAATCACTAAATCTTTTTGATTTTACTTTACATTTACGCGAATGAAAGGAAAATAAAATTAATATATTATAAATCGGTGTCTTTTCATAAGTCTTTCTCTAATTTTGTAAATGTTTTCACTAAAAGTCTGAAGAAAGCTATCGATATATTATATCTCCGGTAGGGCTGTAGGGGCTGTGGTAGCGCTCGAAGGGATAAATAAACATTGAGTTAGAGTTGGCCTCAAGTCTATCATCAAAATACGAAACTCTCACCACATTTGATGTTTAAGTAAAAGAAATTCTGTAACGCTTTTGATGTCTCAAACGATTTCCATCTAATGTTAAATCTGATATTTTTACTAACTTCATAATTTTATCTTTTTAGAGAATTGACATTACAATACCTGCGCTTGAGGTCCCAGTCCCCAGCCGCGTTCTAGGAAGAAGAATTCGGTATTTTTATGAGAATATATTAAGCGTTTCGATTAAGTTTTTAAGAAACAACTAATAAATTAGAGATTTATGTTACGAAAGAACAATATTTCAAAAGAAAATTATTGTTTAACTCATTTAATAGTAAATAATATGAGAGCAAAACTGGTATTTAACTGGCTAACTGGTAACTGGCTGTAATTATACCCGCGTGTTGGCCAATGAATACACAATATAGATATCCACCACAACAAAAAGAGCACAAAATGTATATTTGTTTCAATTAATTCACGCCTTTAAATGCTTTTATTTCGCTAACAATTATAACTTTTGTTCGCTATTACTCTCGATATTATTTTTGAGTCAGGTGTCGATTCGGCTATTAATGAATTGATTCAAAATCAGTATTAAAATAATGAATTAAAGGTAACACAAACTTGAGTTATTAATATAAAATCCCATTTATTTTTTTAATATTCCGACAATGATTTATATTTCAATGGAAGTAAAAATTATTTTCTTTTGCTAAATTGATTCCCGTATAAAAGTTTTCAATAAATAAAATATTGCTTTTAAAACAATTTAATGGATTGCTATTTATAAGACATATATTTATGGGTATAGATAGGGTTCACCGGTGCAAGTCAAGAATTCAACTCATTTATATTATATAATAACTGATTTCTTTAATTCCTATGCAATTAAATTCAGTATAACTTAAGTTTGGTTGATATGAAAGGCAGTGAAATTTGCGAAATTATATTACTTTATAGACATCCACTGATTACACAATTATTAGTCTGCCTAATTTGAAATTAAATTACTTGTTTAGTAACTTGAGATTCAGTAATGAAACACTATTAACAGTACTTTCTGGGTATAATAGTGACTTGAACATAAGTTAGTGAATTTGTTATTTATCTCTACATACTCTTTATTAATTTAAATATATGAGAATTTATTAAATTATTTAATATTATTAATTTTTATGAGACGTTATAAAAATTATATTTATTTAAATTTTTAGTAATTTATCACAAATTACAAAATAATTCACAATTTGATAGAATTCATTAATAAGGAGAATATTTGTTTTTATTTTATTAACAAAAAGTTTTCTATTATTTTGTTTTTATGTTAAGGAAATGGTTAGCGACTAATAACTGATAACATATACGAAAATTATAAATAATTTATGCCTTAATTTAAATAAATATAATTCGTTTGAATATTTCATTAGAAAAGGCTTATTAAAGAGAAACGAAACACTGAATTAAAAGTTCATTAAATTATATACCAATTCGAGTGAAACTCTGCACAATATTATTCAAAATACTTTTACAATTAGTGGTGAGACCAAGAAAAGAGTTTTGTCACTAATTTATGCTCATTTTAATTATAATTTTATTTTAAGTACTATTGAATAACTAATGATTTGACGAAATAGCCTTTCCTTTCGAGTATAACCACTTAAACGCAAGTATTTATGCGCTTATAATCTCTGAAATAAAGTTGCGTTTCATTACAACAGCACTCATACGACAGACTCTCTTCCAAAGAGTTATTATCGACAAAAAGAAATCATAAAAATATATTTCTGAAATTAATGTTTGAATATTAAAACAAGTATTTTCAGTTTGTAAAAGAAGAAGAAAACTACTGTTGTTTCTTGTCCTTTACTATCCTTACTCTCTCTTTACGCTCTCTCTCTCTCTCTCTCTCTAGTGAATGGTTACACAAAACCTATGATTGAGTTCTAAACGCAGAATATTATCAAAACCTCTAATTACTCAATGATTATGAGATGAATGCAACAGAAATATCAGTGAAATAATAGCGGCTATAAAATGCCAAAAAACATCAGACAATAAAAACATAAATGAAAAAAGTTTTATTGAATGGCCGGTAAAGTGAGGGACGCGTGCCTTACATGCGATGCCCCCAGAGATCACATTTGAAGCACTAATATCACACAAAGACTTACACAACGGCTCGCCCTATAATACCTAACCTTTCTTACGGGGGAACTGAACGGTGATGTGAATTATAAACTCAGTCAGTCATACAACTCTCAATACACGGGTATTATACCTGACTTTGAAATTGAAAATCTGATTTGAAAACTTGATATTAAGCTTAAGAATACATTACATAAAAAATGCTTAAACTTTATTATAATACTGTACTTTCATTTGAATAAAGTGTTATAACTTTTGAAGTGAGGATTGATATCAGATATGTTTATTAGGGATTGAATTTAAATAAAAAACACATCAAATCTTGTTTTTCTCTAATATTCAGTTGCAATGGTTGGTCCAAATCGACACAATTATCTTTCTTGAAGTCAAAGCAGTGCCGAAAGTGTCTTGTGATGGCTTCAGTCAGAAAAGGAGATTCACTTCAATCCGAGTATTTATGCACTTCTTTATGGCATAGAATTACCAGTTTTTTGGTGTTTTATTAATACTCGTAAATAGGGTTTAAATATGAATCGTAAAAACAACAATAAATAATATTAATTTACAATATTTGTATCGATAATTAATAACAAAAAAGCATTTAAAATTTACCTATAAAAATAGTCATAAATTTAAACATTTATTAATTTGAACAGGCATGTATTCCTGGAAATACAATATAAGCATTATATAAAAAAAGCAATTCATAAATTATATAAATATTAATAGCTAAACATTTGCTATACACAGTGTTTTCTGAATAAAAAATATTTTTGGTGAATGAAAGGCACAAATATTTTAAATGAATGTTAACTATAAGAGCGAAACAATGCTATTCTGACCAATAATTGCGTGAAAAGAAAACATAAAATGTGAGTAAAAATAGTGAAAAATGAATGAATCATTGAATTAGTGAAAAGATTACAGGATTTATATGAGAGCACCAGTGCTTCACTAGGTTTTGAATAATTTGTAAATAAAAGTCCATTTAATTTATGACTTTTAGCCCTTTGGAGGAACAGACGAAACATAACTGAGAAAAGAAGTGCACAACCGATGCATATATTATACGTGGAGTGGAGTGCAGTCAATAGGAATGGCACTCAAGAGCTGATTACAATTGTTTTGCGATCCTCTTGTATATCAAGTGTTCAAACAGAGTGTTGTATGCATTGGTTGGCCATTGCGAGGCATACGACAGGAATGCCAGAGATATTGCACACAAACTTCTAAAACAGTGAACAAAAACTTCTAAAACACCACTAAAACAGTGAACAACGAGTGCTTCCATTCTTAAGACAAACAATTATCTCTCGGTTCACAGCAGGAGTACTCGTATTTAGTATGAGTTCGCGTTTTTAAAACTCATTATAATTTTACTCAAATATTTGTGCTTTTAATTAAGTTATCGCTAAGAATGTGATCCAATGCCGGGTGGAGATAATGGATTGCATTTTGGTTATTCATAGCTAACAGATTGGGAGCACTAGTAGTAAATTTAGAAGTAGTAATAGTAGTGATGATAGTAATAGTGGTCGCGTGTCTGCAAAGCCTTTATTTCTTGTTTGTGTCATAATATCGCTCATCCCTACTATCATGACGTGAATGTCGATGACTGTCAGTCCTATCATCCCTTCTGGAATGAGATCTGTGACCATCTGTAGAATGCCTTCCATGAGATCTACTCCAATGACTACTACTTCCATCGCTGGACTCCTTGTGCAACCGGATGGGTCTCCTCCAGGGTCTGTCCCGACACCCGAACCTCAGTTGTCCGGACTCTTTCCTACCGCCAAACCCTCCGCCCAAACGTCTCGGTTTCCATCCGTGCATTGTTCGGCCCAACTCGTGGTCCACCAAAACTCTTCGGCCGTCAATCATCTCATTGTTAGCCCTTTCGTAGACCTCTTGAGCCGTCTTCGAGTGCTTGAACTCCACGAATGCGTAACCCTTTGAAAGTCCGGTCACTATATCCCGCACTAAACGTAGGCTTACTATCGATCCGTACTTTGAAAAGTGCTTTCAATACATCACACCATTAGTCCAAACATTCATTAATTATCATTAAAACTAAATGAATTTATTTCATAATTATTTTATTTGTTTTGATGGCATTTGGTGTGAAAAATGATTGAATATTAAAATGAAATATGAAATGACTTTTCGTATGAATATCGAGTAAAACAACAAAATATTCACTCAAATAACGAGGGATTAAAAGTCATTAATAAATGAAATGATTAATCGATGGCAAGATTACACCAAATATGAGTGAAATATATGTTTAATATTCATATGATTACTGAAATTAATTATCAAATCAATTATGAAATGAATGAATGATTACAAGAGATTCAAAGAAATGCATTCAAAGGCAATACCGCATGAATGGTGTCTTCGTGTGTATTGAAGTCAAGTCGCGCCACAAATATAGTCTTCTTGGCATCGCTTTTGATGGATGTGTCGATCGTATGCTTCGACTAAAAGACATCAACACTTCAATGCATCACTGGATTCAATGGTAAGACAAGAAGTGATGGCACAATACGTACGGTGAGGGCGCGGACCAAAGCCTTGTCGTGAGGGGTAGTGTCGGTGCCGTCAATACTGCCCACTCGGATGGGGTCGTACTCCGCGGCCACTGGTGTCCACTCATCGCCACTCATGTCCTGTGCTCTCAACTGATCCTCACTGTTGTCGTCATGTATTCAACCATTTGTTTGTTTTCATTCAAAACTCGTACGCAAACAGTGAGTGAATGCCATTCAATGGTAACATTGGGGACATCTGTGGCCTATTGCTTGCCATCAAACACACCAATCCATCAATCAATTGATCATTTCATTTATTAATTGTAAATATAATGTCCAAGCTAAAATTGTAATTATAGCTCAACTAAGTTATTATCATCAAATGATTAGGCATCAAATTTATTACCGTATATTTGATTGTATAGTAAATCATGCATTTCTAGCAATTAGTTAAACAATTGAACACATATAGTGGTGATAATTGTCCAGGACAATGTTTTTTATTAAATTTTTACAAAAGTGTTCAATAAAATATTAAATATATTTCTATTAAAAAAAACTTTGGTTCACTAAGACTTTTAAATGAATAGTAAAACAAAACGAAAAATAATCCATAATTAAATTCGTTAACAAAATAAATTAACTTAAATAACATGAACACAAGTAATAGCTGTGTTTAACAGTATGTTTAAGTGTAATCGTTAGAAACTGCTGCCATTGACAGACCACTTGCAACATAATTTGTAATTAGTTGTCATATATTATGCATAGAATCAAATAAAAATTGATTTACAATATAAATAATCACTAAAAAAAATTTATATTTGTAACCAAACTAAGTAAAATTACGGTAATTATAAATGTTTGCATTAATTGTTTTAAAAAATATTATCAAACGTCTCCTTTCATCATTGAATGACTAAATGATAATATTATCTAATTTTACGACTCATTCAGAATTCTGTTGAGATATGAATTGATCAAAAGGTTGATGGGATCCAAACGCTTCCTCACTTGAGTCCACGCTCTGAAATAGGGATACATTTTCACAAAATCCGATGCATTCTCTCTGTGCGCCTAAAATATACAAAACATATATTTGTTACAAATGCTTAAATACTGTCGTTTCAAACGTATGCATACTTTGGCCCAATGGGGTCGACCGCCGGCCTCTTTCATGATTTTTTCGTATTGATCCCAATAAGCGGAATGTGAGACATCCTTACCATAAGGTCTGTACATAATTATGTTAATGAATGTCGAGTCGCGACCAAACGCTGGACTCAGGTATATGTCGTCCTCTTTGACGAAACGAATCTCAACGGGAAAGTGAACGTAGATATTAGGCGTCCTTTCGATCCAACCCTTCAACTCCAACAACACTTTTTCTGTCTTTTCTCTGTAATCATACCAATTATAAAGCGTTAAAATCATAATTTGCGATCAAATAGTATTCACACAATACCTCGGAATGGACCACTCGTTCACATGTTGTCTGAAAAGGCACTCGAAATTGAAGACCTTATGGCTGACATCAATCCTCTCCTTTGGTCGCGAGTATTGCAACCAAAACCAAATTCTGTTGATATACGGCACTAAGGGCTGGTAGTAAGTGCTGACCCAATAGGCGAACTCAAGAGAGTAGTAACCGATGGCGTAATTCCAGAACCAATTGCTCAGCGCCTGAGACGATGAATATTTGGTGATCTCTTTGTTGTAAATCCTATTATTGTTTTGAACGGACACATAGTCGGTGTGCGGAAACCACAGAAATCGGAAGTGATCGGAACCGTTGATCTGGTCGTCCAAGTCCTCGAGCACTTCATCCAAAGTGGACGGATAGCTGGACTCATAGAGAAGGAATGCGGGCTCGCATTGAATGGTCAGTCGGATTATGATCCCAATGGCTCCTAAACCAGACAACGCCGACAGAAAGACATCGCTGTTCTCTTCGCGCGAACACTTAATGGTGTCCCCGGAAGTGGTTATTAACTCCATTTCCAGTATATAGTCGGCAAACACTCCAAATCTAGCGCCTGATCCGTGACTCCCGGTGCTGATCACACCAGCGATGGTTACTTCAGACACGGATCCTAAACTAAGACACGAGAAGAAAGCAAACCATTGTCTCAAATGTGTTCATAAGATGTAATGAAGACATTGATGACATACACCGGAAGCGCCAGTTTATGGCTATCGAGGTATGCGTTGATTTCAGTCAAAGTGATCCCCGCCTCAACTCTTATGGTATTTGTCTCGCAATTAATACTCAAAACATTATTAAAATATCTTAAACTAATCATATAATCATCGGTGCAACAGATGTCTGACGGGGAGTGTCCACANCAGTCAAAGTGATCCCCGCCTCAACTCTTATGGTATTTGTCTCGCAATTAATACTCAAAACATTATTAAAATATCTTAAACTAATCATATAATCATCGGTGCAACAGATGTCTGACGGGGAGTGTCCACAGCCAACCACTCGGACCTTCTTCGATGTGCTTTTGGCCAAAAATATGATCTTTCGGTTCAAAGGAAAACACAATTTGTTAACTAAGTTATCATAAAAGACGAGACAATGAATCGACTACTTCTCGCAATTCCTCGACATCTTTGGGAATGAAGTAGAGGTTTGGTTGACATGAGTAGGTCTGGGACCAATTCGTGAAATTAATATTCTTCACGCCTTTCGCCTGTAATTGTCACCGAAGTTGCCATCAATTGAATAGTCATTCAAATTGTCATTATAATCACGAATACAATGAAATGAATGCAAACAAAGACTCACTTCTACCCCAAAGTCGGCCATAATTTGTAAGCAATTGAATCCCTTAATAGAGACAATGGTTGACACAAAAGCACTAGTGTTTGGGTTTTGATTAAATGAATTAACTTTTAATTAACTAATCATTTAATATCTTATCAAATGCTATGACATGTGACTCAATGAACAGTAATTCAAAATCTTATGCAATGTTTACATGAATTGGTGTTATATTTGTGGCATAAATAACGTCAACACTAATGCTATTCAATGACGAAATACTGACGAAATGAAAACACTGTTTGATTTGAACATTGATTTCACTTTCAATTGGTTTACAATTAATTGTCATTTAATTTTCACATCATTTTGAATATTGTATTTACAAATCAATCGGTGTTTTGTGTGTTAATTGGTTTGTTTGCAAAGTTGTGTCAATTGTGTTGTATTTAGTGAATTGATTGTGTTTTTGAAATGCATTTGAAATTCATATCAATTCTCGTTTTGATGATAAACTCATCGCAAGTATTGTCCGATAATTATGACTATGATCTCAAACAAGACACCACCGGTTGGACAGACTTCGGGGATATGTTTGAGTATGACGTCCACTCCAAGAGCAATGACAAGTCCACGCAAACTGCTCCTCAAGACTGCAACTGTGACCACAAGACTCAGTCAGACAAGTCTTCCACTGCCTCCGAGTCTCCAGAAGTGGACACAAATTGTGAACCGGTTTTGAATAGTCTGGAGACGTGTCGGCGCGAAAAGGAGGCGCTCAACCAATTGACTCAATCCAAGACATGTAATCACCGGATCTCGACATTCGTGAGTCGAGCCGTCCTTAAGTTCATTAAGAAACTGAAGACATATGAGGATCAGTTGAATGAAGACCAATATCTGCAGATATCGACGTATGTCTACGCAAACAGTTTGCCACTCATTGAGGAGTTTGTTCAGCGAAACCAATTGGACTGCAATCGAGTCGATGAGTTTGAAGACACCATATATGCAGTGATCGACAAAATATATTTCGTCAATCAGTCGAAGAATACATTGTTTTATAATTTCATTGAAAATCATGGCTTCAAATGTTTGGTCACTCTTTCAATCGGATTAACCGCTCTATTCCTGTATAAACTCTATTTGATGCCATTCTTCGGCAAATGTGTCACCATTTATATCGTCATATTCGTGGCATCGTTTGCGTGGCAATGGATACAACTCTATCAGTTGGAGATCTCCAAAAGGCATCTCACAGTGTCTTCAGCGCCCGAAGAGTGCATTAATTTGAGTAATAATAAAGAGATGACGATATCCTCTATATTTAGTTCTTACGTCCGATCGTTCACATCGATGGACACCAAGTGTCAGGAGTACTACAGAGCCGTAATGGTTGACCCCATGTTTGAAGTGAACCCATTGGCGGCCATCAGTCACACGCTGTCGACGGCTCTGTTTAAACCGATCAGTATTTTTGGCGATGAATTGGGCAAAGGATTGTCCAAATTCTATAATTACTTCAATTATTTCGAGAAAATCTTGATTACTATTCCACTCTTAATATACTAACGTAAAAAGGATTAGGAAATGTACCCAAAGTTATAGGTAAAGGGTAAAAAATACCCTAGATAGTCAGCTCCGGGTGTTTACGGAAGTTGGGTAAGGCCGTGACTAAAAGTAAATTACGTTTTTCTATTAAATAACCAACAAATTGTGAATTCAATTGATTTCAGTGGCAGACCGTCTCGGAGTAGAGATAACAGACTGACGGCAAAGACTGGGAATACTATTTCAGACAATTATTCGCAGCCATTAAGCGCTCAGACGATGCGAAGATCGAAGTCAACGACTTGTTTGTCTCGTTTGTGAGGAAAACAATTTTGATTTATTGAACACTAAATGAGAAAATTGTGCCAAAAATAAGAGAATATAATCGACGACTTAAAAGCACACTAATCGCTACCAAATGTGTAAATGATTTATATTTTTATTAAATTGTGATTTATTTATATAACGGATAAGAATTAGTGTAATCTTATCCATAAGAATATTCTATAGTTTTAAGTGATTTCTATTTTATTTTAAGCTTTTATTCATGCATTTATTCCAAACTCTAAATATATTTATTTTTCTAAAAATATTTTACTTTTTTAATTAAAGCAATTGTTTGGATAATGAATCTAAAAGCTATTTTTGTTATCAAAAGCATTGTATTTACGTGTTCTTAAAGATTATATAATATCTATTATTAATAAATATTTATTTTAAGCATTTTTAGTATTTGCGCACAAAAACAATTCAATATTATTGTCATAAAGTGTTTATAAAATTACAAACATTTGAAAGCTTTTAAAACAGTTGATGTGTCTATCGATTATAAAAGTGAGTCATTAAACCCTCACTCAAAGCCTATTCAAGACATAAATTGCTTACAAATCAAATGCTTGCCTCGAAATAAAACTTTCTAAACATGCATTTAATTGTACACAACATTTATTTCTTTCACATTATTCGCGAAAAGCTTGCAATACTTAGATCAGAGTTAATGGTTTTATTTTTAATGCAAAATATTTTTGTTCAGCAACTCATGAATTGTTTAAAATAAATATTTGTAAAGCTTATAGTAAACAATTATTTTGGAACCGGAAATTCATGGGAACATCATATTTATTGGGATGAGGTATTGATCAAGTGATGAGGAATATGATGGGCAGAGGAAATGGAGTATAGTTTGGGTCGATTGGAGATGTGATGGGAAGTTGTGGTTGTCGGCTATGATAGGGCGCTCTATGTGTGAGAGTGGCGTAAATGTGCTGATATTTGCAGCACGTCTTCGGCAATCATTTGTGGTATACGTCAGGCGCTCCGTGACATATATGGCTGAGCTCTGAGCCACAACTTGACTGTGCGATTAGGTTACG